AAAATTACGAAGTGCTCCTCTGAGCTCTTCTGCCATTTTATATAGGTGTTATTTTCTGGAGAACCTATTGCTTCAGAGAAAGGTTTGAATGATTTCAGTCTAAAGCTGAGGTTATTGTAGCAGATTTTACTGCAGTTTGATGTGTGCTTTTTGCAAGGATTTAAATTACAATGATGTTATGGCTGAATTTTGGACACAGTGACAGAATACTAGGAAATGCTATCTCACTTAAAGAACAATTTATAGAGCTACATATATAGCAGTATAGCAGAAGATGGAATGGAACTCTGCAGCAAAATTCTGATTCTTCTGGGACAGAATTCTTTTACCATGAAATAAGAGGCCAGCTCTCTGGTCTTCAGTGACTCTTTCCTGCTGGCACAATAGGCTGTACTTCAGCAGAGAAATGCAGAACATCTCCCCAAGAAAGATCAGAGGCATATAGATTGTAGTTTCCTTTTAAAAATCTGGTATGCTTCTTTTACCAAACAATGTCAGCAACAACAAAACTTAATGAAATCAAAGTTTCTGTGTGGGTTCTGACTCCCTGTGTTTTATCAGCTACAAAAGTTTTTTCCTCTCTTGTATTACATTTAGATAATGCTTTAGTATCATATCCTTTGTATTCTTAACTTGTATTATGGTTATGCCTTTCAGCTTTGACAGATACACGTAGTGCTTTCAGAGAGCACCTTACTGTCTAAGGATTGTACACTACAGAAACAAGGGGAAAATGTCTACATGTCATTAGGTAACAAGTTCCAAATGGAGTAAGAAAAGTGAGCTGTTGACACTTAGGTTGGAATACTCAGGAAATGTTGAGGAGTAGTATTAGAAGAGAGCATATTACAGATTCTGGGTAGTACGTGTATATTGTTTCATCTCAGAGATATCAACATCAATAAAACAGCTGTTCTTTTTTTCCTATGAAACTACACCGAGACTCTATATGCTGTTTACAGTTGAAGGTTTATAGCTGATTTATGTTTGAAAGATTCAGTAGCTGAATGTTTAGATTTAAAGTTGAATTTTTGAAATGTTACTATTGTTTTGAGTTTCCTATGGCCAACTTTTAACCTATGATCACACAAGGAAGCTTTTCTTCTCTGTGAATAAGCAGGAGGAAAAGTACTGTGAATTCTCTAATTAGCAATACATTTACTTTATTTAAAAGTAGATCTATTAGTATGTCAGTCAACCTTGATATATGTTTAAATCTAATGTTATCATCCAGAAGATGGATTTATCCCAGTGATGTTTTGTTCCCGGAATTTCCAGGTATTTAAAATTGGTTCTGCTGGCTGCTACTGTCACAGGTATTTCCAACTGTCATGAAATGGAGGAGAAAACTGGAGGAGTTTTCTCAAGAAGCAAAGGTGAACAGTGGGTTTAGCTGCAGTTAGTATTTCATTATCTACTTTAGAGAGTTCCTGACTCTCAGTCACCGCACACAGAGAATTTTTATGAAGTCCTTGATAAAGAGATTCAGTCTGTTGTCACTGTGAGCTCTGGACAGCTCCTGATGCTCTTAATGGGGAGTCAGTCAGCTTCCAGATACACAAATCAGAAGCAGAATTTCACTCTGCTTTCAACAGGATATGTGTGCATACATTTAGAGAAAGAATTAGTTTTTGTATTTTCCTGGGCTTCATCTCTTTCTTTGACTCCATAGGATCATGATCTGTTAAGGATAGAACAGGATGGTGTTAGAGTTCTAGCACCACCACTCAGCTCAGGAGAGCTATCTGAAATTGTCACCCTCTTGCCCATCATTTCTGTGTGTCTGTAAACCTTAACTACAGGTCAGGGCTGCCTCCTTCCAGGGCAGAGAGAAGTTTCTCTTACTGCTTATTCTCCACAGCTTTGCAAAGCCATTGCAGCTCCAAGAGGGAATTAGATTCTGTCCATCTCCACCTGTTACTGCTCTCCTGTCTTCCAGTGCTGTTTCTTCTTCACTATATCAGCACTGTTTAAGTTGCTATTTTGAATTTCAAATCCCACATGTCAGAAAAGCAAAATCTAGGATTTTGAAAAACTGTCTCCTGCATAGAACTGAAAAATAAGACCTACTAGCACTTCTGGGATAGTATCATAATACAGGTATTACTTTCTGCCTCACTTTGAGTTTGGAAATGTTTAAAAAAAGTTCTTTATGGCCTTCACATTTGGCCTCTGAAAGAAGTAGTGAGAATTTCCAACTCTTACTTGAACCACAAACCCTCCAAAGATTTGTAGGTAATCAGATTTTCAGCTTTCTCAGAGTTTATCTGAATTATTTTGAATTATTGACCGCAAACTTTGCTTTCCCTACAAGTCAGTTGTGGTCCAGCTTTTTGCAGTAGCTGTGCTTGTTCTAACACATGAAGTTTTCTCTAGGTCTACTTCATAATACTTTATTTAGTTGGTTTAGTGGTGCTTCGGGGTTTGGTTTTCTTGTGAATCATAATCAGTCTACATTCAAAATGTAGTTCATAAAAGAGGAGGATGAAAACTCATTTTCATTGTTAGGAATCATAAAATATCACAAGGTTTCTCTTTCTTTAGCAACAGATGAAAATGAGAGATGAGATGAAAAGATGAGTGTATGAGAGAGACAGTTCTGTGATGTTTTTCATTTCATGTGGTGCTTCTCTGAGTCCTGTTATTGTTTATCATCCCTAATGACTGCAGTGCCTTGAGTCACAGTGTTGTTTTTTTAAAAGCTTTCACTTTTTCATTGTTTGTTCTCAAGGTTACATTATGCAAAACACAATATTATATTTTTTGCACTAGTACAGGCTGTATAAAAATATTCTTAATCCTGTTGTGAAAATTGAAACAGCTCTGCTCTGGGGGAGAGGCTTTGAGCCTGTTTCAAGTGTTCCCAACTTCTAAAATGAGCTGCTGTTTCTTCCTCTGCCTGAAAAGATATGGGTCATGTCTCTTGCCTTTAAAAGTATTCTAAGGTGGTAATTCTTGCACTCTCATGCTCTAATTTGATTTAGATAATCACCATGAATTTCAAACCACTAAAAATTACCGAAAGGTAGTTTTGCCGTGTACATAATTATGAGGATGAAAGAGAACTTTTTCTACTTTACTATAAATGTGAGAAGCCAGGCTAAAAATATGAGGAAGGTACGAGGAGAGGAAAGGACAGGCTTCTGATTTTATTTCAATGGATTTGCATTAGGGATAAAAAGAAACAAGCAAGTTGAATTAAATACATTATTCAAAACTTCTTTTTTGGCTTGATTAAATTGCTGCTCTACCAATCATTTTCCTTACCATGCCACTTTTTTTTCCTTTACTTTCTGGTGAGGCAGGGCATTGTGTCTTTTAATGATTTGCTAATGTTCCCTACAGAGCTTTTATCCCAGCTGTCTGCAGCATTTGGCCCCTCTCAGATTTTTGTACCAAAAATCCTCTGTAAATGTGTGAGAATTGTGAGTTGTCCATTCCATCAGTGTGAACAGACACTTTACTGAAGGTAGCATTGGCTGGGGGTTGTCTCTGTGTGGAACCTTTGGATCTGGTAGACTTTGGTAGGAAGTGTTCAGTGCAGAGAAAGCTATGAGAAAAATTAGTAGTCAACCAGGTTAGCTTTTACCACAACTCCTTTGTGCATTTAAACCTTGGTTGTAAGTCTGTGCTCTGCCTTTTCCTCTGTGGACTGCTGAAACTCTTGTAAAACTCTGGACTATAATATACAGGTAAGTATGGAAATACTGATGAAATCAAAACAATAAACCTCCCACAAAAAACCCAAACATAATCCAACAACAAAAAAAAAAAGAGCCAGAGCCGTAATTTTTTTCTGGTCTCACTATACCTTTCTTCAAGGTTGTCCCAAAATAATCATTCTTACATTGATACTGGAACAGGGCAATTTCTTTGATTTTTCTTTAAATTTAAAAATAAGGAACCAAGTATGAACTGTCAAGAGCTTTTTTTCCCCAATATGTGCTGCTGCTTGCTCCATTTGCATTTGATATCAACACACATGTATTCCTCAGCAGTCTGATTTTGTTAAAAGCTGGAAGGCTTTCACTGAGTGGTGCCAAAGGAGTCTCTTTCCCTATGGTTTTGTCCCACTCCAAAAAGCTTTCCTGTGAAGCATCTCTGGTAACACACACTGATTAGAAACATATTTTCTAAAGTGATTCTATGAGTACCCCTGTATGGAGTGAAGAAAGAACTTGGTGCCAAAAGCTGTTCCTTTTCTCCAAGAGACCATTAGGATAGGACAGTAAGCATATTTACGAAGATTCTTAAGTGCCTTGCAGAAATAGTTGCTGCAGTCAATTTTGAGTGAATTTTGACCAGGCAACTGTAATTTTCTGCCGCTAATGAACACTTTTTATGTATTCAAGGAGAAAGAATAAGATCTATCAAATAAAAGAGGTCTCTGAAGTGTTTTTATCAGAACTAAGAATGTATAAGAAGTTTTTGAATTGTTATTGAATATTCCAAATATCTACTGTGAAAGGCCAGTAGTAAACCTCATACACGAGACAGGATTTTGAGAAGGAAACTGTTGGGCACCCAATCTCTCATCAGTACTTTAGAAAGACATTGATTCTGTAATGTCTTAGTGTTTGCATGTGTTGTAAGCACTCCATCTACTCCATCTTGGGTCCTATTGTGGAGATCATCATCTTGGATTTTACAATTCGAGGTAATTCATTTGGTCACCCTTTCAAAAGCTTATACAAATGGCTGCTTCCCAGTGTTCTCATTTTTTTAATGATGTGGAAGCAGGTTCCCCAGGTGCTTTGGCCATTCAGCTGTGCTTAACACACAGCAGAAAATACTTGTGTCAAGGGGAAGCTGTGCATGAGCACCAGGCTGGGATAACATCCAGGGGACAGCATTAGTTACAAGCAAGCAGCAGACATGGTATCCAAGCAAAACCAGGCAGAGCATCAGTTATGTACAAACACAGTTTCTTCTTTCAACAAGGTGTGACCAAGGAAAGATTGGATAAGGCACATTAACAAACTCTTCTCTTTCCTTCCCAGAATTACAACAACAGCTGCTTGTATGATGGACCTGCGGAGATATCCACTAGATGAGCAGAACTGCACGTTGGAGATTGAAAGCTGTAAGTACTTCTGCAAATCCTACTTATTCTGTGGTCAATTGCTTTAGAGTTTATATTTCTGTTGGGTTCTGTTTTTTTCAGGTTCTGTTCAAGGGTTTTTTTGTTGTTTGGTTTTTTTTTTACATGTTACTAACCCAGTTGTCTTTCTGTCCAATGATGTTTAGATCCTTGTAAACACATGCAAAAAAAATAGCTTTCCAGATGGATTAGTAATTTGTGGCACAAGGATTAGCAAAAGTTATTCTGTGCTTTGATGGACAATTTACAGCTTTAAAAGTCTCATTCAAATGCCTTGTTGGAGTTCATGTGAGGAGCACAAGGATTATTATCAGTTCTTTATCCTCCTTTACTGCTGAACTGTGTGGCAGCTTGTTTCCATTTATAAGTGAAGGCAAGAGGTTAGAATTGTCCTTGAAATAGGTGTTTTGTTTTTTCCTAATCAGTGTTCTGTAGTTAAACTTTCAATGCATGTAAACAGCCTGTTTATATACACTGATTGTGTCTATTGAACTATTTATCTACATAAAAACTTGTGAAATAAAACCTCTCTTTTTCTCTGAAAAAGATTACTGATCACTTTTATAATGACAATATTGCAAGCATGTTATTTAACACTCTAATTAAGATTATATCAGAATTTTCAAGATTAATGTCAGATTTTAATATATGGTACATGAGTATGTGTGTTTTTAAAATAAGTTGTGTATTATAAAATATGTTGGATTTCTGTGTTTAATTTGTGGTATAGTCTGGTAAGAACTCAGTACAGCTGAACTTCTTTTTGAGATAACATAACATAAGTACTGTCATGCTACTTTAGAAAATGATTGGTCTTCATAAACATCATTCGGTCCTGATGAAAGCCTGTCTGTCTACTCTTCATGAATCACTTCAGGCAAAAATGCTGGTAGGTAGATGAGCAGAGTGAATAAGAATGAAAGTGACTTTCTGAGTCATTCAGTGCAGGTACTGAAGTCATAATCACTTTTAAGAAGTGGTTAAGCTCCATGCCTGAAGAAGGTTGGTTCCTTGCCCTGCTGATGCTGTTGAATGCCTTTTTCACCACTGTTTTCTTGTAGTAGTTAGATATTCTATAAATTCTACCCCAAGTGTTTTCATGCCTATGAAGGCATGAAATTAATACTCACTGCTTGGGCCTAAAATTTTTTTAAATTAACTTCTCTGGCCCTACTGGAACCTTCATAACACAGTTAATGAAAACTCTTGTAGTTTCTCTTAGACTTCATTTCATGAAACTGAATATTCCTGTTTTTAGCTTCTCATGCAGGAGAGTGTTAAGAGAAATGCAGAACTGGCATTAGTTCTTCATTAGGAATAACTAGTACCATAAATAGTGTCCCAGATGAAATCTGTATTACACTAGGGTATTAATCCTGCCTTTCTCCATCACTGCATATCACAGGTGAGAGTCTTTTCTGGAACACTACAGTAAGGTCTTTCCCTTCCTCACTCATTTTCCAGCAGTGAATTCTTTCTAGCTTTTTGAAGAATTTTTTTGCATAGTGCTAAGAACACATGACTTGGCATTTCATAACACTGTTCACATAAATCAGTGTTCTTAATATTGCTACAGTCCTCAAGGTTATCCACTTCTTGTTATATTTGTTCTGATCATCCTTGGTCCTAAAAAAGCCTGCTGATTTTGTTTCACTAAAAATTTCATCAACACACAAATACTAGAGAATATTAATGTCAAGAAGGAAGAGCTTTTCTTACAGTTATTCTCTGTATTGAGCACAACCTTTCAGTGCAGTACAATTTCCTACACACCTTTTACATATCTTTTATAACTGTCTTTTCTTAATTAGTCTTATACCAAATACTTCTATGAAATCCAATTTAGATATACATTGTTTAAAAAAGGAGCTATTGTCAAGTCAGGTGATTTAAGCTGTAATTAGAGATTTTTATCCCATTTCAATCCACATTAATGTCTCTAAAGTCCTTCCATTTTTTCTCTGCTTCTCCTTCCTTTCTTCCTTTCCTCCCCTCATCCTCTTACTGGTGCCACAGTTGAATACATTCTTAAATGCCTGGGCTACTTTTTTTCTTCGTATCATAGTGTTTACTGAAATATGTGGCCAATATCAAATTTTTGTTAACCTAGATTTGCATAAATATAGATTAATTTGCAAATTAGAAATTCTTGTGAAAAGGGTTGTATATAAAATATAAAACATGACATAGAGGGTGTGATGTCATCTATTAAGATAAAAGAGAGCATTTTTCATATTTGTCTAGGGCAGTTTTAGTGAGATGCTGAAAGTGTAAGAGAGGACTATTTCCTATTAGTTTAAAAAGTACCAGTTTTGAGAAATGAAATCCTGTTTTTTTCCATGTATAGCTAGTTGCACACTGAGGTCCTTTAAAAGCAGAGGCTTGTTGAATATTCAGTTTTTCTAAGATGCTTCTAAACCTGTGAGCAATCATACCCAAGGTGGTCTACTCTGAGATCTTCTACTCCTCCCTTTCTTTTTTTTTTCTCCAACATACTGAAAAGCAGGGTTATAATACCAGAGAGAAATAATTTTTTAGTTTCCCAACTTTCAGGCAACGGAGTTTTTTCTTTTTTATTTGAATATTGACTTAATTCAATAAATATCTGTCTGTACTGTACCCTACCTCTGCCACTGCAGTTTGTATTTCTGAGTTTCTGATGATTCTTGAGAATGATTTTATTTCTCTGCTGTTTCCTGCCTCTCTGGAATTGTAGCTGTTGAAAGGAATGTCTCAGCTAATCATCCATAAGACTAGTGAGAGCTCAAAGGCAATAAGAAGTACAAGGCAATTTGATGAATACATCATATTCCTATAAACTAATAAAATATCATATTGCACATCCTCAGCCTAACAAATTATTGTGATTCTTTTGAATATTTTTAAATGCAATTTTTCAAGATTCATCTGGTACATCTGGACCTTTGTCCATTTAAATTATGTGTAAATTATTACAAAGAAAAACATTTACTTCAGTTCCTTCTTATCTTGTTTCATAATGGGCTAGGCTTGGCTATATTTATGCTATACTGAGGTAGAATTCAGAATCTGCCTTGTGACAGCAGGTTGTTGGGTTTTTTCCCATTTCTTTGTTGCTGTGGAACAAAGGAGAATGCACCGAGTTTCTCCTGTGAAGCATATCCTCAGAAACACTTTCCATAGTGTATAAACGAAGTGGCATTAAAGAAGCACATCAAAGCCTTGCTATTGGAGGCCTTGGCAGACAGGGAGCTCCCCATGTGGCTGTACTGACCAGGGAAAAGCACTCACAGGCAGGGAAAATGCTTTGCTGATGAATGAGAAATAATTGTTTTCAGGACATTTAATTTATGTAAAAGCCTGAGGTGTTCAGAGCAGAAATCATTGGAATTCTTTTTTTTCTGCGTCATGATAAAACCACCAGAGAAGCACACTAGGTTAAAAACTTCCATTCAGTAAGAGAATCTGAAAAAAGCCAGAAACAGAGTCAAAAAAGTATCATTCCTCCCCATGGCAGTGGAGCCCAGTACCAAACACTTTCTAATCAGACCATTTGTGAAAGCTCATCAACAAAAGATAGAGAAGTCATCTTTGTTTGCTCAGGTTGACTTTATGAGTACCTTTAAGGCACTGAAAAGAAATCAAAGTAGCCTTTTGCTGAAACTTTGAGTACTTTGCTGCTCTGGCCATCGATCAAAGCTGTAATCAGGTCACACAGGACAAATGTAGAACTCCAGGAGCTGACCAGGCTTTCTGGGTGGGAGGAAAATGTGTTTGATGCCAGGCAGGAAACCGTCGGTCCCCAGCAGCGGGGTATTGGGCATAGGAGGATACCATGGCAACATGTGGCTTCCAACAATTGCACAGGAAGTGAAAAGCTAAACACATGACTCTTGGGCCACTGACAGCAAGAATTTTAAAAGTGGTTAATTTTTTTTTTTTTTTTTTTTTTTTTTTTTTTTTTTTCCTCTTATCAGACTTAATGTGCATTCCATCCCCTTTGTCTCTTCAGCTTAGTCTGTTTTGCATCATGGCCCTTGCAGAGAGGATATTCCTCTATCTAAGGTAATTTTATCAAAGTGCTCCTTTCTTCATCACCATCTCCATGTTCAGATTTCCTAATCTGGATTCTGTGCCAATTCAACCTGTACAGCAGTGTGTGTGGAGGAGAGGCATGGGTTGTTCAGCAAGCAGTGGTGAATTCCACCTATGTTCATTGCCATTTTGGCACCATCAGCTTCTAGTGTGGCTTCCTTGGGACAGGTACTTTGCTCTTTATTTGTCCTTAGTAATTTAATCTCAAGTATGCTGAGAAGAGAAAAGGTGTAATTTCAGTGGCATAATGCACACTGAAAATGAACAGGAAATCCTTGACTCCTCTTCAGTGTGGAGATAGGATGATTCAGGAAGAGCTAAAATAATCCTCAGCAGGAGATGATTCTTCTGTGTAGTCTCGAGAGGGGAAGGAAATTTAGATTCACGATCAGTGCATATGATCAGGGTGGGCTGTGTGCAAGGGAACCAGTGCTCATCAGGTTTTGATAACACACACCCCCACACCCAGCTGGGGGTTGGGCTCTCAGACTGTAGCTCAAATAACATCTGAGATATATTACCCTACAGGTAGGCAAGAGGGAAGTATTTTCCATTTTTCATTATATCTCAGTACATCTTTGCAGCAGTCTCTGCATTCTGGGAGTTCTCATAGTACAAACAAGGTGATGTAGTGTTTGCAAATGAAGAAAGAATTGTAGAGGAGCTCTGCAACAGACTCTTAATTCTTTCAAGCTACCTGGAGTTAAATCTAAAACGGAATGCAGTATATCTAATGCAAATATCTCATCTGTGCCAGGTATCTAATATCTAATCAGCCCAGACCATACTGGCAGCATAGATTTCCACAGAGAAATTAATAATTTTAAGTGCCTTTTTTTTTTAAATCAATCTACAGTTGAATATGAGAACATATATAATAAAAAAGACAGAAACAAAAGGTGAATGGT